GGGTCCTTTTGGGGGGCACCTTTGGGGGTGAATTGAGCTCCTTTCAGCAAAGCGCAGGGGGGGCAGATGGGGGCTGCCCCCCCACCCCTTGTGGAGCTACCGGGAGAGGGGGGGGGGCCCAGGTGGGGAGGCAGGGAGGGCACTCGTGCCCCTCCCCCAATTTACCCCCTCCTGGCTCTGCAATTGCCCCCCATCCCGGGAGCATCCGGGGGGTCCGGACGCGTCGCCGCCCACGACTCCCCTCCAGGTCTGCGGAGGCACCTGGGAGGGCTCCGAGCAGCGCCGGGATCCGCAGCGCCGGGATCGCCGCCTTCCCTGGGAGCTGAGGTATCCTGGGACCAGGGAGGGCTCGGCGGGGTCTCGCTTCCCCCTTCCAGATTCCAGCAGGAGCTGGTCATTCCCTACGCTGGATGAGTCCTGGGGAGCCGGCAGCTCTTCAGAGCAGGGCAGGGCTCCAAGGTTGGGGTGTCCCCATTTCCTCCTCCTGGAGGGTTGGCACTGTCCTTATTCCAGGGGATATTTGGGATTGGAGGCGCTTCCAGCTCTGGGGCGGATAGCGCTGGGCCTGGCTGCAGGTGAGGGGCCAGTCCCCGCCCGGAGCCAGTGGGAAGGCGGCCAAGGAGAAGCAGGAAACGAGATGCAAATTCTTAACGGGTGGCAGGAACCTCAGAGGCAGCCGAGGTGCTGCCGGTTCCGAGGGGGATTTGGGTCCTCCCAGCCTCTCCAAGGCTGGTCCGAGGGGACACGGAGGCCGGAGAGAAGTATCTGGGGGGGATGCGTTAATGGCCGGGCTGTTCGGGTGCCTCCTTGCAGGACAACCGGGCCCCTCCACATGGACCAGGAAGAGCCGTGTGTCGTGGAGCTCCACGACTCGGACGACACGGACATTGTCCGCAGGGTCTACATCGGTGAGGCCGGGAGTGAGGCGGGGGGGGACAAAACCGCACACGGAAGGGGGAGATGATTCGCGCTTGGCACATGGAGCATCCTGGGTTTCATCCCCCTTTTCCCCGGCTTTTCCGCCCGCCGCAGCTGACGACGGCATCGTGAGCGACTGCGAGGATGAGGTGCTGCCGCACGAGATCATCCAGACCGTGATCCCGCACAGCCCGCTCGCCCCCAAGGCCAAGAAGCGAGCGGCCCAACGCGGCACCCGCGCTCCGGCCGCTGGCTCCGGCCGCGCCGCCGGCTCCGGCGAGGACGAGGAGCGGGAGGAAGGCGCCGGCGGGCGGCCCCGGCAGCGCCCGTTCATCTGCAACGAGTGCGGCAAGAGCTTCAGCCACTGGTCGAAGCTGCTGCGGCACCAGCGGACTCACACGGGCGAGCGGCCCAGCACATGCGGCGAGTGCGGCAAGAGCTTCAGCCAGAACTCGCACCTGGTGCAGCACCGGCGCACGCACACCGGCGAGAAGCCCTACCGCTGCGGGGACTGCGGCAAGAGCTTCAGCTGGAGCTCCAACCTCATCCAGCACCAGCGCATCCACACGGGCGAGAAGCCCTACAGCTGCGCGCAGTGCGGCAAGAGCTTCACGCAGAGCAAGAACCTCATCAAGCACCAGCGCACGCACTCGGGCGCGCGGCCCCACCGCTGCGGCCAGTGCGGCCGCGGCTTCGCGCAGAGCACCAACCTGCTCAAGCACCAGCGGGTGCACGCGGCGGCG